TCTGTTTGCACACTTTCCAAGATTCCTTTGGGATATCCCTGCTTTTTACTCCAAGGACTTCATCAAGATATACCCTTCATTTTCAAGCTGAAGTTGGTTAATACATGAAAGCACAGTTTTGCCATTTTTCATCTATTTGCTTTAGACTATTACTATGAGAATGAAAACAAAGTTTCACAAGTTCAAATACGGTATTTCACACAGTTAAAAGCTCTGCAGGCATGCCAATTAGCAATTTCTCAATACAAAACAGTAGAAGTTAAACAGAATGCCACCACAGAAATCTAACCAAACAAATTAATTGACACCACAGGATTAATTGTAGTAAACATTCCATTAACTCATATATTCTACTTTGGGAAACCTTTTTAAAAATTACTTCATTAAAACAGGGACAAACAACTTTTTCTTAGCTGAATCCTACCTGCAGCAGCCTTTGGTAACATGCTAAAAACTGCACTCTGAAATACTGATAGAGCAAAGGGAAAATAGTGGGTATTGTCAAGCTAAATGTGAAATATGTTATTTTTTTAATATAATTAAATTTATATTGAGAGCCAGTTTGTAGTAGTAGTGAAGGAATCAGGCTACAAACCAGGAGACCCTACATTCTAGTCCAATCTTAGACAAAGCCAGCGTGGTGATCTTGAACCAGTCATTTTCTCTAAGCCCTAAGAAGATGACAATGGAAATACATTTCTGGAAAACCGTGTCAAGAAAACTGCAGCGACTTGTCCAGGAAGTTTCTGAGAATCAGATACGATTGAGTGGAAGAAAAAAGTTAAATTCAGTTTACTGAACCCAATGTCTTTCCTCTCTATGAATTTAATTACTTTCCCCATTCTGTCAGGTTAAAAGTTATAGTTTTTTGAGAGGTTCTGGAAGCTTCACTGAAAGTTTGGGGAATTACAAGTTCAACCTACCCATTTATCTCCAATGATTCCAATCCTTCCTAAATGGACAGAACTACAATAATGGTTCAAAAGTCATTCCCTTGTAAAGTTTTGCTGAGACCGATTCTCTCCCCTCTAATATCTATGTAAGCCTGATGTGGGAAGTTATCAACCATATTGGGATGAGGCATCATTAGCTTACCAAGCTAAACACCATTATTCTGGGCTAGGCTGGGCTGGAAATATCATGGAAAATATGACCCAGAAGCTGTGAGAGCCTGGATGAGATAGAATATAATGAAGCTGAATCCTAATTAAAAAGGACTGTTATTGGTTCAAAGATGATCTAACTCTTTGCTGACTCCAAATATATCTCAGATTGGGGTATTTTCCACAAAGGAACAGGTTGTGTCTCATTTGTGCCCCTAGACTCCCAGCGATAGCTGGATACACATATGGAATCTGTGTCTTAAGGGCTTTCCCCTAGCTCTGACTCAAGGTATTAGTTGCAGCCTCACAGGGAGTAGGGATTTACTAAAGGTGATTAATGCCATTAGAGCAGGGGTCCTCAGCTGTGTGGGCATGGCTAGGTGGTCATGTGACTGGGCATGGCCAATTTAGCAGTCCAAACAATACTCACAAATTAAACTTCAATTTGTTTTGCTCCTGGGGATGGAAAGCAGGTTAGTGAAGAGATGTGGCTGCCTTGGGGTGTGTATGAGGGACTTCTGTTTTGTGTGTGTGTGTGTGTGTGTGTGTGTGTTTTTCCTTCTCCCTCCCTCCCTCCCTCTGTGGCTGGGGAGACCATAAATGGGCCCATGTTTGACCTCTTGAGGCCTCCACACATCCTGTTTCTGGCCTCCCGGCCTACCCAAAACAGGTGCGTTTTTGGCCTCCAGGGTCTCTAGAAGGCAGGTGGGGGCCAGCAGGTAGGTGGAGCGATGTGGGCGGGGCAGCCTCATGCTCCTGCGTAAGCCGGATTAATGACTGGCAGGCCATATCCGGTCCGCGGACCATAGTTTGAGGACTCTTGCCTTAGAGAATGGTATTTGTAGTGCAGGGTTGAATTAGGGGGAACTTGGTGCTCTGGGCTAACAGTAAACAGGCCAAGCAAAGAACTACCAAGACCACCCTCACCAACAGACAGGACAAGCCACTAGAATACAAAATGAGAGGAAACCCTACTCTCTACCAGGACTGATGATGTTACCTAGTTTGAGTAATGAAATGTCTACATGAAAATAACCAAGCTTAGAGAGCAGCAAGGACCTCACAGTGATTCTTGCCCTGATCACTATTAAGGTATATAGCAATTCCCTCTCTATGGTGCTAACCCCTGAAAATTACCTGGGAACTGCAACTGCAGTTAGCAAGTGAAAACTAACAGCCATCCACTATATTGTTTCATAATGTGAGTTTAAACTTGGAAGTCCGAGATTGCTTATGCCTTAAGTACCTTAGTCGGGAAGAACTGTCCCATCTGGTACATTGATTATAACTGAGGATATCAATTTTTCCCTATTGCTAGGACGACAAATCACCCAGAGATACTGATTTTCAACTGCAGTTCCACTTAACAAAATAATCTCTCCCTCTTTGTCCCACCCAAAATTAGGTCAGCACTAATTTGGCATCATGCTGAAAAGCTGTTAAAACAGATCAATCCATATAGCTTTTGAATATTAATATCATATAAAGTAGGTGCAGTACAGAATTCCCAATATAGGGTTATGTACTTTTAGGCTCAAGATGAACATACAAAAGTACGAGATGAATCCAAATCTTATATTTCTATTCATATAACTCAGGGGTACTTGTTTTTATTATTTCCATATTTCATATCCTATTTTATTCTGGAGAAGTTATTCACATTCATACATAGCTTTTCAAAAATGATGTGCATCTCTATTCTGTGCTAGGTCCAGGTTCTTACACCCAAACTACCATAATATTTAAAAGCCAGGCTGAAAACTTCAGCAACATACCTGCCAGGCTATCTAGGGATACTTTTTATAGAAGTAAATAATTGCAAATAATTAAAAATGAACAATTTTTGGGCTGGATTTAGGATTTTTTTCCTTATTTTTCTTATTTCAAACTCCTGAATTATTTTATATATGACAAGATCCACTAAAGTTGAATAAAATCTCTTATCAAGTTTTACAAAGACAATTCTGCATAGTGTTTAAACAAGCAAATATAACAACAGATTATTAGATACTAAGAGTTTGGCCATGAGTATTGGAAAAATTTATTAATTTATTATGGCAAAATCCCAGAAGATTATGAAGAATTACAACTCATGCTTTTAGGTAAGGCTAACCAATATAGATTTTCTCCACGCATAATGCAATATCAAAAAGAGCTCAGGGAAAACAGTGCTACAGGCAGAAAATGCATAAAAATAAGGTTCTGTGGAAAACAATTTAATTACGTTCCCTTATGTCCATATGATAAAAATTCATTTAAATTATAAACTAATGAGTCAGTAGGATCACTTGATTGAGGATTGTTATGAAAAATCTCCTTAAATACTGAAGCAAATTTTGTTTCATCAGGGATTATATTGACGCACATCCAGAAGTAGCAAATTCTCCAAGGATCACCTCTTACATCTTAACAAAGATTAAGTAGCAAGCAGAGCAACCAAACTATTTAAAGTTTCCTTGTAACACATATCTGTTTAACACATCATTGATTCTGTTAAAATATTGCAATAAGATATTGCCATATTAACCTCTCCTGACCGGAACTCCATGTAACATATAATGCAGTTCTAAAAAGTTTATAGATACTTTTCCTACACATAAGAATATTACTTCCAGACAGAAACTATCTGTTGTGAGCTTACTTCCAATTCAGCTCTGATTAAAATAAAAGATTTGTTCGTAAAACAAAAAGAAAAGAAAATTATGGCCTGTACTTCCAAAGCAATAGTGCCATCACCTGGAAGGTGAGACTGAGGCAAAATTCAATGCCTTCAGAGGAGGAGGTAATTCCCGCCCCCCCAGTCTCAGCACTCCTCTTTTTTAACCTGGAGTTGAGGGTGAATGACAGAAGACAGAGTTTTTGTTTCCTAATCCCCAGATCAAAGCTGCAGATAATAGAGACTCATAAGAGCCAACAACCACCAAGAGGCTGGACACACTGTGGTTTCTAAAACAGAAAAATGGGAGTAGTTCAAACCTGAAGTTCAAGAACCATGGTTTTTTTAAACATACACACAAATGTAATCTTTGTTATGTATGCCAAACACATACCTCCAAAACCTCTCAGTAAAAAGAAACACAAAAAATACAAAAGAACAATACTAATTACCAAGATTGATCACTCATAAATGAGACAAATAGAAAAAAAAATGCAGACAGACTAGGATAATACATTAGTATCCTGATTGGATGGAAGAAGCAACAAATAAGCTTGGCACAGGAATGGATCAGTGTCTTTCAACCTTGGCAATCTCAAGATATGTGGACTTCAGCTCCCAGAATTTTGCAGACGTAAGATCTCACAGAGCATTCCCACATGGCATATGTGCTGGTGGATATTTTTTTTAATGCCACAATAATAAAATGAATCCTCCCAGGTTGCTTTATTCTGTGCCTCTATTACATTATTATATGCTAAGTTTTTATTTATGTTTATAGATTTCAATGTATGTGTTTCTCTACATATCTAATATTCCATATGTATCTGGTATGTTATAATATAATAATAAAGATTAAGAAAATACACCCCCACACAATGAAATATTATATGTTCGTACATATCTTTTGTGATAATTATTATACAGTTGAAATGAACCATCCTTGTATTTTTGCATTGTTTGTTCTGTTGCCAAAGAAACACTTGATATATTTTCATGAGTGTGTGGAGACAATACAATACAATAGCAGAGTTGGAAGGGACCTTGAAGGTCTTCTACTCCAACCCCCTGCCTAGGCAGGAAACCCTATACCGTTCCAGACAAATACCGTTCCAGACTATCAGAGAGACTTTTGATAAAAACTTTTTTCCTAATAAAGCTTAAGTTCCAGTCTTAAAAATATATGTAAGATAAATCAAACACAGTGTATATTTAAAAATAAAAATCCAAAATTCACTTACCAACAAGCCTAATTACATTAAGTGTAGTGTTGGTTAAAATTGGGGCATTCACCTTGTTGAGGCAATAATCTGATCTCTTCCTGGTCCTCAGAGTTTCTCGAGAAACACTAGATTAAGGATATTAATTGTTAAATACACAGATATCCAGGAAAATGCTCAAAAGTATCAGAAAAATAAATATTCTTTCATTTTATGTCAGCAAACAGTATTATATATTTTCCGTATCTATATTCTATATCAGAGCTGTCAAACCTGCGGCCCACAGGCCAGATGCGTCATGCCACAGCCACACACGGTTTAGTGAAGGGGGAAAAAGTCATGATACATCACATGACGCTGCTGTAATGACACAAATTTGACATTCCTGTTCTATATTTCGTTGTATTTAAGTACAATAACAATAAAGATTCTAGTTATATCAAACTAGCAACCTGTGACTATATTGGAAACAGCTTATTCATCTTGCATATTAAAAAAAACTTAAATCAGAGACATCTAATAAATACTGTGTTGAAAAAGTGTGGGTTTGTGTGTGGGGGGGGGGGGGGGGGAAGGGAGGAAGGTAAAAGAAAAACCAAAGAAATATTTTTTTTCTCTAACACATTTCAGAAATTCATTTATTTTTTTCTTCCTTGTTTGGTTGGGGGTTTTTTCCCTTTCCTTTTTTAATGTATTTCTACTTCAGTTTAACCAAACAGTAGATATTAAAGTTTGTTCGAGTTTAAAATTTTAGTTATTATTTTAAGTTTAGTCTTTATTCTTTTAGGTATGTAACTTTCTTAAGAGTAGTTAAATGAAATGTAATATATTAGTTTTGCTTTCAGTATTATCATTTATATTATTACTTGAACTACCTGTATAATTAATTGTACTGGGTTAAAAATTTAATACAATTCTTACAATATAAAATGAAGTTGAAAATAATGTGTTTGTATTTTAATATATTTTCATTGCTTTTGTTCTGACATCTTGGAAATTTAATTTCAATCATTTAATTTTATTAAACATGAGAAAATTATAATACCTTGCCTACTTGCATTTTATTTCATATTCAAATGAAAACAATTGCTGGAGTAACATAGCAATTCCTTAAAACTGCTTTTAGGATCTATTCATTGTCATCCTCTTTCACTTTACTCTTTGGATTATAAAATGCAGCAGGTAACAATTTAATTTTATAGGGAATTTATAGTGTTTTATTATTCTGTATAATAAGTATTGTTAGGACTAGAAAGAACAGACTTATTGGTTTTCACAATAAAGGTTGTGTATTGACCCTGAGTACAAATCAATAATGCCTTACAATTAAATTTCACTAATTTTGAAAACAAGGAGTGTTACAAGAAAACAAATCTTTACACGGGGGGCATTTAGTGTTACAGATGCTTAAAAAGTTAGGTAGCTTCTTTCCAATTAGAGGATTTCTTTCTCTCTCCACTAAAGATATACCTAATGTCAAAGTCAAGACATTTTAGCTGCCTAAGACAACACAGCATGTGCTCACCGTCATTAGAAGTCAAGGACCTCAGGGCCCAAATTTTTTTACAATAGTGTTGTGATTTACAATAGTGTTGTGATGGCCATTAGTTTTAACAATCCTAAGCCAGAAGTCTACCTAACTTCTTTCTACCTAACCAGCACTGATTTCAAAACGTTAATCAGACTGGCTTGGATTTGATTTGTGAGATCACAGAAAATCACAGGCTTGCAACTCAAAATACATCCCAGAAAATGGCAATAGCTTATTGTTGCCAAGAAAACCACACAGATGTGTCCATAATCTCAACAGGGGAACTGAGCGCAATTCAAAAAGAGGCTTTAAGGTCATGGAGAATAGGTGATCATAATTAATAACCTTGATATATTATCTCCTGAATCGAAGGCAGCATTTCTTAAATAGAATAGTCTTCACCTAGTGATAACAATTGAAACCGACAACTCAGCACCATGGTCACTAAGTGGAAAATCATGTTAGCCCAATGAGCTTACTCTCTCACTGCAGTCGTTAAGAGAAACATCACATGACCACACCTTAGAAGTTTACTTCTGTTTTCTCTAAATTGCTTGTCACAAGTCAGTTGTGAAGCAGAGAAATGGTGATCATGTGATTGAAGGACTCTGAAACAGTCAGAAATATGAAGTTTGATTGTACAGCTTAATCTTTTTTAACACACTGTAATTTAGAACAGTCCCTAGACAAGGCAGAAGCAAGGACTACCTTGAAATACTATTTGAGGAATAATGATATGAGACAGGGGTGTCAAACTGGCAGCCTGATGGCCGGATGCTTCATGCGCAGGCCATGCCCACACTGGCTTTGCAAAAACAAAATATGTTGTGATATGATCGAGTTTGACACCTGTGGTATACAGGTATCATACTCCTGTCCATGCTTGTGAACTGTAGGAAATATTTACTTGATCATTACGTGTCATAAAATTCTAGGCAAGTGAAATATTTGACCATTTAGCAGGGATTTTCAATTACTCTGGCAAATGACCCAAAATATCTTAAACAGGCTCATGCTCTTTCATGCTGTCTCAGCACGCTGGGCTTCTCAGTTGGACAGGTAACAGCCCAGGTTCAAGCCTCATGCATTAGGAGAAAAAAAATGTCCTTCCTTTTGGAATGTTAGTAATGTTGAAGGGATTAACAAATTCTCAAGAATAGAACAAATTGTAAAATATGTATGCTCAAAGTACCTTTTTACTGGAGCATCTCCAGTCTGTTCATCAACATAGTCCCTTTTCAGTTCTTCAGGAACATCACTGTCACTATCATATTCTTGATAAGCGCTCTTTTCTTGTTCATCCGATTCATACTATCAAGAACAAATCAGAAATGTTTTTAGTTTCTTTTTTTAAAAATTATTATTAAAAAAAACATTATTTTTGTTACATAAACAACACATGCCCACACTAGTGGGAGAAAAAAATCAAAACACAAAAAAGACAAAAAAAGAAAAACAAGTCAGGGAAAAAAAAAAAAAAAAGGGAGGGGAAAAAAAAAAAAAAGAACACAGGTATATATTATAAAAAAGTA